ATCAAAATCTCGAAATTATCAATCATTGTAATTAAAAAACTATAAGATGTTCAGTTTTTATAACTAAGGGTTGAAAATTTAAAAAAAGATTCTCCTAAGTAATTCATACTGTAACCAAAAAATATAGAAAATATATATTTTATATAAACACATTTTATTTTTTTGGCATTACTCAAAAAAGAATAACCGATGGTTAGGGCACGGATTCAATGCAAAATTAATTTTTTTTGCGAAAACCTTACGTAATGCTCAGTTTGGAAAAAATGTATTTCAAGTGATGTAGATTTATATAAAACAAAATTATTATTCTGCAGTTTATTTTGACCTATGTACATCTCTAATGTATTTTTAGTAATTTTCACTACTTTCAAGGACATTATTTTATATATATTTTTTTTAAATTTATACACGTTAAATTATTACACGTTAATTTATTACACGTGTCATTCCCAAAAAAAAGACGTCATACAATTTAAATGTTAAATATAATTATATAGGTTGATAATATTAAAATATTAAATCTATGTTACTTACCTGTAATTTATTTTGTTCTGAAGACCACGAGTTATTGTTGTACCTACTTGATCGATCACATATTTTAATAGCGTAAGATTAAAAATTAGTATAATAATTAGATGCTAATATGTGATGCTCTGCGCAGAGCTAGGAGAAAATATTTACCTATTTAAGTGCCATAAAATAATTAATCCCCATTAATGATACATCGTGTCTGCGATTCAATCAGTGATCGATTTAAGATATGAAAATATATACTTATTATATTATTCTATCTATGTATACGATATGACCGTATCTGGACCAGACGACCTATGAAGGCTGTAATCGCGTAGTTAAATAAGAGTCAGTTATAAACTGAGATTGAATAGTTCAGAAGAAACCGTTATTTTTCAGATATATATATATGATCAAATTAAATATTATTAAATAACTATATTTATAAATGAAATATATATTTATACTAGCTGATCCCGTGCACTTCGTTGCCCCGTTAAATGTATCAATTCTATATGTCTCAAAGTTTGTGCAATTCGTTATTTAATATTCGGTGTATGCGGTGTTCAAAATTAATCTTAACTTTTCCGTTGCCCCGAATAAAAATTCTGATTCGCAACAGTAATCTACCTGCGATAGATCGCGTACCCTCTGCTGTTTGTATGTAAGTGTATGATTTAACTCTAAAGTATCAAAGTTATACCAAGTTTATCGTTTTTACTTCATTTCGCCTAAGGTGGATTATTTTAATCATTTTATACAAAATCCTGGGCGATTGTAAACTCCGCCAGAATATCGGTCAAGATAAAAAGGTAATAATAGGTCTATGGTAAACTCCGCCAGTTTTTTTTTCTTACCTGTAATGGCTATATGTAAACTCCGCCAGTTTTTTTTTTTTACCTGGTCAGTGCGACAGTACTCACATTGCCACGTGCCTTCTCACATTAAATACGTTTACCTACATCTATTGTGATGATATATGTCAAAATTGATAAAATATTGTCAAGGTTAGATCGATTCAAATTATTAATAATTTATAATAATTTATAATTTAAATTATTTATTAATTATTATTATGAAAAATATGATTTTGGATTATTTATTATGATTTTTTATACTATGATTTAAATATTTATATGATATGATATGATATTATATTATAATTTTTTTTTAATAATATATCATATTAATTTTATACTACTATTTGATTTTCTTCACTGGCGGAGTTTACATGAACCCAATTTTACCTGTTTTTTTTTTTCTGGCGGAGTTTACAGTAAAAAAAGGTACTTGTGGCGGAGTTTACATGCGCCCAAAATCCTATCCTAACCTAACCGTACTAAAACCCGATGAAAAAAAAAACAAATTTAACCCTTAGTAAATTAACCTATCTTCTTCCCAGACGTCTAATCTACCCACAAACATTAATTTATATATATATAACTATATAAATACACGGACTATAACTATACAGACTCTGGAACTACTTATTGGATCTTTTTGTATTTATTATATATATATGATATATGTATACCTATTGACAAAAAATAATGATACAAATCAAAAACATGCCCGATTAACCAATAGCAACCGATATAATATAATACACTGGTGGATTTTCCTAACATTTTTTTTTTCATATAAGCCTTGTCCGTGAAATACTCTTTCATTTAAAAAAAAATAAAGAAGATCTGATAAGAAGCTCCAGAGATAAGTAGTACAGAGATTTTCATTTCACATTTTTATAGTTAGATATTAGATTACAATTTATATTTAAAAAGTAAAGCAAATAGTTTTTTTTTTTATTATTTGTATTATTGCAATAGCTTAAAAACCCATGGCAACCATTTATAAACAAAAATTTCCATCGGAAATCTCAAAATTCCCGTTTGAGCACCTCCCGGGGTTGGTCCTCTCCCTTTTTAAATTAGCCTATCTTTTAAGTTGGACCAAATTACACGTGGTGTAAAAAATTTCTTCAAAATCTGTTAAGTGGTTTAGGAGTCCATTGAGGACAAACATTGTGGCACGAGATTTATATATATTAAGATTATACATACCTTTATGATATTGTGATTAAATACGCGTCCTAAGTAGTAATAGATTAATTGTACAATATAATTAGGGTACCTATTAATTAATATTATTTATGTTAAAGAGGTCAAAGTCGATGCATTAGAATTAATGTATTGTTTATTAGAATATTGTAATAGTTATAACTAATAACACATTTTTTATTAAATATAGATTTTTAACAAATATAAATTCTTAATAACGGCCAAGTGCCAAACGTAAAAGTGTCCCTGTCATTGTGTCAGTCATTATTTTAGAAAACAAAAAAAATTAGGAGAAATTAAACAATATAACCACATATTAAAGAATTCAAACTAAAATGTCCAGATTCTTAAACAGATAACACTATTTAAAATAATTAGAGCAGGTTATCAATGTTCACATCTAAACAAAATATAAAACTAGAGTTAAATAACTAAAAAAAAAAAATTGAAGGGGGGTGTTGGCGCCCGAAGGCAAGTGCGTTTTAGAAAACAAAAAAAAAAAAAAAGAAAGATTATTCATAGGGCCCCTGCAGGTTATCAATGTTCATGTCTATAAAAAAAATTATAGTAGACTTAAGTTCATAAAAAAAAAATTGAAGGGGGGTGTTGGCACCTGCAGGCAAATGCATTTTAGAAAACAAAAAAATTAGAAATTAAACAATAGGACCACACATTAAAGACTTCAAACTAAAATGTCCAGAAACTTAACAGAAAAAACTATTCAAAATGATAAGTTAAGGAAATGCTAATATAAACATTCAGTGAAATTTTCATGTATCTACAGTAATTCGTTTTTGAATTACAACAAAATAAGGAAATCGCTACATGAGAAATCGAGTGAACATCCAAAATTTGAATTTCAAACGCTCATAAAAATTTAATTTGACTTTCCGGTAGAGATTTTTTTATTGATAAAGGTAGACAAACTTATGAGTAATCTTGTATTACATTTTCAAATCTTAGATTTAAAAAAAAAATTTTTACGAATTCTTAACTCATAATAATTTGCTAATTTTCGTGATTTTTCCATATTTTGTCAATTTTTGAACTTTAAATGCTTATAAAAAAAAACTGTGACTAACGATTTTTAATATTTTTCATCTGCCTTTGAAACAATATACTAGGAGCCTTTTATTAAATTTTCAAGGTTTTTTAACCAACAAATAAAATTTTATTGATATTTCTAAAAAAAAAACTAAAAAAAAATGAAAAATGAAAATGTCCCTAAACAGTTCAAAATAAATCAAAATATTTTGAAAATGTTATCATGTATAGAAAATGCAAATATAAACAACCAGTGAAAATTTCATGTATCTAGTTTAAAGTTACACCAAAAACCAAATTCAATTTTCTGAAAAATCGATTTTGCGTAAAAATTCCCGTTTTTCCTTAATTTTTCTTTTGTTTTTCTTGGCGCTTTTGAAAAGTACTGAGTATTTTAAATTTTTACCTCCCCAATGCACCAACGATATTCACTTTCCAATCGAACAAGATATTGAAGTTGAAAATCGAAGAATTATTTCGACTACTTATCGTGTACACAGACACAAAAAAAATAAAAAAACACACATCATTGTAAAATCAATACATTCATCGTTTCACTCAGAATCTAAAATAGGTAATATAAATAATTTAATGGATATCACACTATCTAAAAATGATAGCCAACTAATAAGAGATTCGTTAATGGAAGATTTAAGTGGTGAAGTATTAAATATCCACTCTTCAAATGACCATAGTTACTTTTTAAAAAAATGACAATGTAATGCCAATGAATTTTTACCTTTTTTATTTTAACTATTATTGAACTTAATTTTTACGACGATTATTTGAATTTAACAAATATTATAATTGACTTTATAGTTTACAAGTATAATATTTTAATATTATTTTGTGATAAGCATTATATTTTGTGATAACAGTGTAGTGACGCCATATTGGAATAATTTGTGATTTTTCCTGCGAAGTTCCATTCGTGTTTTTTTTCTAGTGATATAAAACGTTTTTATTTACTGTCTGGTTTTATCTATAAACCTTCGGTGGATATAGATAATATTAATAACAGATTATTATCCATATCTGTGTAATGAGTAAATTGCAATCACAAATCCACAAATCGCAATTATCTATATAGTAAACTATGATAATATAATATTATAAATTAAAAAATATTATAAATTATACCATACCAATGATTTATGTTTTCTGTGCTTAATTTTCCTTGAAACAAATATCATTAAATTTAAACAAACACGCTTGCCGAGTTACTAACATTTAACAGGATAATTATTTTACACTTTATTAAGACATTAACATTTGGTAAGAACTAAAAATACTATAGTATTGAATATTGATATAAATTAATGTAGGTAATTTCACTTATATCTGAAATGCTGTCGATTGTGTAGACATTTTTAGAAATTTGGACTGATGTCTTCTGATAGTAAAAAGGGAATTCCCTCCAACGAAGAACTCATAGAGGAACTCACTAAGAACTTGGAAAGTTCAGCCATTAAAACAGATTTTTCTGGTGGTGATGAATCTCATCACAGTGAATCGGATTCAGAGGTTGATACTAACATAAATGAAGAAAATGAAATTAGAGATGAAGATTACATTGATGACGCGCTGTTAAAGGAAAGAGATGATAAATTACCAGAAGAGAAAAAACGGGTTAGTATAAGTATTTATATAATACTACTACATTAGGGGAAGTTACAGTGACATTTGTTGTCTCCGTCTTACAAGCTCGTAACATAGCAAATTTTACGCTTGGCAGAACACATTTATCTCCGTAGGTTTAAAAATTAGAGCGAATTGAGGTCTTATAAAATTTAAAGATAAGACTATTATCTAGACAATGACATAGGCTTTTTATTATATTTTAATTTTAAAGCGAGTTATGTGTACTTTAAGATTATAAACTGTTTAAAAATACTGTCTTAAAATAATCAAAACTCGCTTTAAAATTAAAAAGTAATAAAAAGCCATATTCCTTGTCTAGATAATAATCTTATCTTTAAATTGTATAAGAGGTTAATTCACTCTAATTTCTAAACGAACGGAGTTAATTGTGTTCTACTGAGCTTAACATTTGCTATGTAAGCACTTGTAAGACGGAGACAACACATGCGAGTATCACTTCATCTTAAAATATATATAATATTACTGTAGATCGTAAGTGCCTAAGATAATTGTGTACCAGTTATGTTAAACAAAACTAATAAAATAAAAAATATCTATTATTATTTTTCTATTTTGAAAATTAATACTTACCTAATTATGTGAATGATTTTAGGAGTTATTGCAAGAAGCTCTTAGTTTAAAAAATGAAGGTAACATCAAATTTAAGAATCAAGAACACGAAGAAGCTTCTAAAATATACACAGATGCATTACGTACTTGTCCATTAATTTTTCCAAATTACAGGGCTATATTTTTCGCAAATCGAGCTGCAGCGAAATCTAACATTGTATGTTATAGCATATTCCTTGTAGGTACTCTCATTTAATACTACATGATATTATTTATTTCATCTACAGAATATAGAAAGTGCTATACAAGATTGTACCCGTGCTATTGAGTTAGATCCTGATTATTTAAAGGCGTATATTAGACGTTCTAAATTGTTTGAACGCAATGACAAGCTTGATGAAGCATTAGATGATCTAAAAAAAGTCCTTGAAATTGATCGAAATTATGCTGAAGTGGCATACAATGCCAGAGTAAGTAATAAATTATTCATTATTAATATTGTAATTACTTTTTTATGTATGTATTTAGGTGTTACAAGAAAAAATAAATGAGCGTAATGAAAAATTAAAAACTGAAATGATGGCGAAACTTAAAGATTTGGGCAATATGGTACTAAAGCCATTTGGTTTATCTACCCAAAACTTCCAACTTAACCAAGATCCAAACACTGGTGGATACTCAGTTAATTTCAAACAATAATTCAAATACATATTTTACTACAACTTATCAATTCTCATTAGTTTGTATATACAAAGTTAATTATAAGTATATTATAAATAAAAACTAATTGGTGATAAAAACATATTTTTTGATCAACTTTTTATTGTTTAAAAATAAGGTTTTTTTAATAATAAAATAAATAGTTAAGTAAATGCAAAATTAGGTATGGTAAGTCAAACAAAACCACACAACAACAAAAAAAACTAATACTAACATAACAATAGTTTTCTTCCACAGACCATAAGAATACAAGATTCAAAATATTTAAATGAAAAACCATTGTAAGATTGACATTTTGTTTGTATGACTATTAATTGTAATAGTATTTGTATTACACTCAACAAATATTTTTAGCCAATTTTCACATGAAGAATTCTTCCGTCGAAACGGATAATGTGAGTCATGTTCTGGCCACTATAGGTTGATCTAGCATAGTGATTTCAATCTGTCAATAAAGAGTTAAGGTTAAGTCAGTTTTTTTAATGTGAAGTGCTGAAGGCATATCAGTTATGATATACTATTATACTATGAAAAACAAAATGTGTATAATTTTCCATTATTCCTTAATTAATTTAAATTTAAAATATATAACCCTTGAATACCAAACATGCGCCATCCATATTCCATACATAAAATATGTGTATTTACCAAGATGATGAATAGGTTAGGTATGAAAAGGTTTTCGATGTATTTTGCATTGTTTTACAAAGTTGGCTAAGCGATGCTCATAACATGTGAAGTTTCATGTATTTTTAAAAATAAAGTTTTTATTATGCATATTTTGACAATTTTCAATTTGAATATCATTTTTTTTTTTTTTTTTTTTTAAAGTATTTTAGGGCATTTAACGCTAAAATATAGTTATTTTAAATTGTATTTTAAGATTTTTACGTTAAACTGTATCTTTGTAGTGTACTAGAAAGATTTTTAACTAATCGTAAATTATTAATCGTTGTTTTTTCAACGGATACGCATAATGTAAAAATTGAGATTACAAGTGGTAACAGAAAATTAAAAGAGAATAATAATTTTTTCAGATTAAGAGTCTGCATGAAAGACTTGAAGGTCCCGCAAAACTTTTTTTTAGTTTAATAGATAGTTAATAGTTTATATTTGGTTCAGTGTATATTATGTCATTAGTCATATCTTTTCAGCCATGTTATATTTTTTAATAATAAAAAACATTTCATACATTTATATTTTATAATTATAAAAAATAACTTTTTTATACATCAAATGGATAACATTTAAAAAAAATAATAGGAATGTACGAATTATATGGGCAATTTAAGTTTTCAAAAAAATCCATGGCAGCCAAGTTGTTACATTTATATTTTATTTAGAATATTATTAATTATTATAGTATTTCTAATAATATTTGTAAAATGTATATTGAGTATCAATGATTCAAATATAAAATGTATATGTTTTATTCAAGATGTAAAAAAGTGCGGTCATTTTGACAATAGCACGATTAACGTTGAGTTAAAATAAAAATTAAGTTTATAATTTTGAATTGTTAGGGAATTTATTTGGGCTTTTTAAAGCATAACATTTCCAGTCCTAATAATGATAAAAATTGGTCTACGTAAATGTTGGCACCTTTAACGAACTCTATTTCCTGAATCATTTGCATAAATTACAAACATATTATATTATATGAAGAATAAAAACCACAATACCATCAATAACCCGCTTTCAATAATTTATGAGCCAATAAAATAATTTTGACTCACTGTTTAACAAAGATTAAGATAATAAAAAAATCATAAATTACATTTTCAGGAAGCACAGTAGTATAAATACTAGTTGTTAATAGAGATAAGATGTTGATTTGTTTTCTTTTGATTCTATATAATGCTATCTTAGCTAAATATTTGTTTCATGCTTCCTTGATTCAGAACATACTAATTTTATTTTACATTTTTATACTCTGTTTCATCTAAGAGTGAACCACTTGGCTGACCAAAACACGTTTTTTCCGCACATCCCCACCACAATTCGGACATTTGAGAGAGCGTTAACATAGACGCCCGATGGCCGGCAATGACTGTTCGCCAATCACAGAACGCATTGCCATCGCATGGGTGGTCAGGCACTGTTCGGTGGCTCAGTATGCGTGAGCGAAAGCGGTTAACTTTTAGATGGAACAGAGTATAGCTATAAATGCATGTTTGTTTTTTTATATTTTTTAAGGCTGGGCATTAAAGAGTTAAAGTTAAAAATTTTGTTTTATTTTAACTTTCTAACTTAACTAGTTACTTTTGGATTTTTGTTAACTATTAACTTACTAAATTTCTTTTTTAATTAGGTAACGTGAAATTAACAAATTAATTTTTCATTTTAAGAAGTAAGTTAAGTTAATTAATTATATTTTTAATTTTGTTTGATTTCACTATTTCATTCTATATCGTTATGTCAAAAAATATTTACTATGAATTGTTTAAAGTTGTATATTTTTCCAATCTAACTTATTAGATATGTAACTATTTATATGTTTTAACTTAACTGAGTTAACCAAAAATTAAATTAACTTTTAAGTTTTTGTTACTGATGCATATTAACTTAACTTAACTTAGTTAAAAAAAAAAAAAAAAACATTAACTTGCCCAGCATTGCATTTTTTCATGAAACTATACATTTTTGTTTTAAATGTATTAATTTTTCAAATTATTGACATCTAAGAAAATTTTTCAGGTCATTTTTATATTTTTTAGGGCATTAAAGCATTTTTTGGTACTTTATAAGGTCATCAACATCCTATCTCAAATTATTAATTAACAGCTGCATAATAATAAAAAACATTATAAAGGATACAATTCTTAACCCTCGTTCAGCAGGATTGGTAAGCAGCAAACCTCTTGGTAAATAGACCATTTCATTCTGTTCAACTATAAATTTTCCAACTTTGCGTAAACACTAAAAATGTATTTGAACAATTATTTAATAATAATATTGCAATACCTACATAGAAAATGATTTATTATTTATTTACTTTTTCATAATGTGTATCTGCACACAAAAACATTGTGTACACAGTGAAACATGCAAAACAGCCTTCACAATAGGTCTTACATGATGCCTTTTCAGCTTCAGCAAAATATGTATTCAACTGATTGATTGTATATTCAAAAACTGTTCGCTCGATCTACAATCAAACAATATTAATTAGTTTATAATTTAATGTAATCAAGCTTTCAATAAGATTCTTACTTTGTTTTCAAGTCCTTGTGGGAAACTTGTCATAAATTTTACAGTTGTGCCATCCGAATAGTCTCGTTGAACAAATACTTTAGCATATTGAGGCCCTTGTGTCTGGCTGGCTGTATTTCCTTGAGACGACCTAATAGTTGGCGGGGACATAGTGCATAGACTATATTATGACTGCAAAGTTAATGCTTTCAGTCTACTTGACAATTGTAAACTGGTTATTATTATTCACTGACTAGTGATTTAAAAGTGAAAAAAACTGAACAATATTGTGGCTCGTTATGCACTTGATTTGTATACCCTTATTGTAATAAGACAATATTATAATGTAATCTATTGTAAGTTTTCACTGATACATTGAATATTTAAAAAATAAATAGGTAGAAATGCAGAATATTAATTGATTTTCTGAAATATAAATTATCGAATGTTTAGAATTCGGATCAACTACTAACTGCTTACTGGGGTGCGTTCGAATATGAATAGTTCGAGTAGAGTACGTTTAGTGAGAGTAGAGTTAGAGTAGAGTAGAGTTTATCAGCTGTACTCTAAACCATATTACTCCGAATAACCGAACGATATACTGTTATCAATCTTTTACGTACTGATAAATGATAAGCTATATCATATCAATTTATAAAATATTTAAAAATAAGAAAATCAATTTAAATTTAAATATACACTTTGGAGTCGGAAACATTAATTATAGTATTATACTAAACTAATTAATTACTACCGGTCCTATTGTTTGTCTACCAGTCATACATAACATTGAATTAGGTATTGCAAGATGAGCCACGAGAGTACAGAACTGTTTATGATGATAGATTCAATGGGGAAATCATTGAACAATGAGTTAAAAAGAAAATTTGTTCTTGTAAGATAAACATTTATAATTATATACATTTGTAATACAATTTTGTTAATTAGTAGTTTATTTTACAATTTGTTTATAGATTGACATTGATAGTTCAGATGATGAATTCGATTATGAATTTATTAATCGTTTACGGGGCAATAGAGTAAAACCTTTTAGAGTGCAAGATTTTATCTCTCAGACAATACCAAATTTCACACATAAACAATTTCAACAGCACTTTAGGTTGTCACCAACCTCATTTGAAAGATGTTTACAAATTTGTGCTCCCCTTCTAAAGAAAACTTGTGTAGAAGGACGCAAAGGTTCTGATGAGAGGTTACAACTATTGTCAGTTATTTGGTTATTGGCTACACCAGATAGTTTTCGGTTTGTGTAAAGAATTAAATACCTAATAAAATTAGACAGTTTATCCTACTAAAAGATGTCATAGTATAATTAATTACTCCTATATAATTATCTATTTATTTTTTGATATAATGACAATATCCTCCATATTTTTACGTGATTAATAAAATAAAATTTGTATTAAATTTTTAGATCAGTTTCTGACAGATTTGATGTTGGTAAAAGTTCTTTGCATGATAGTTTTGTCCGTGTAACTACTGTTTTACATAGATTATCCCCTACAATTATTAATTGGCCCGAAATTGAACAAATGAATCAAATTCAACTTAATTTTGGTAAGATGTCAAAAACCGGTTTAAATAATATAATAGGTGTTATTGATGGATCATATATTCCAATTCCTGCACCTAAGAAATCAGCAAATTCCTATCTTACTAGAAAATGTTTTCATGCAATAATATTACAAGGTGTATGTGATGATAAATTGAGATTTATTGATGCATTTGCTGGTTATCCTGGATCTGTAGGTGATAGAAGAGTATTCACTAATTCTTTAATTTATGAACGAATCTTGCAAAACAAAAATAGGTGAATATATTAATTACATTAATCATTTACTCATTAATTAAATGTACATCATTGTACCTACATAATATATTATATGAATAATGGTATTTTAATTAGATATGTTCCAGGTCAATATTTCATTGCTGCAGATAAGGCATATCCAATACTCGAATGGTGCATTCCACCATATATTGATAGAGGTACCCTTTCTGAACAAGAAAAGTTTTTTAATGTTTCATTGTCACGTGCTAGGCAGTCCATTGAAAGATGCTTTGCACTGTTAAAAGGTATTTCACTATTTTTTATAAATAATTCATTATAAATAAAAAATAGCATTATAATTAACACTTACATTTTCAATGATATAGGTCGTTTTAGACGCTTGAAGTATTTAGATATGAAAAAAATAGAACTGATTCCACAAACTATAATTGCTTGTTGTGTCCTGCATAATATTTGTTTGCAGTTTGATGATAATCAATGGATGAACAATTTGATTTCAGAACAACAACCTAATATTGGTGATGATAATATTACTGCTGAGCAATTAACTTCTTACATAGAAAATACCCAGTCCGGCTGTATGAAAAGAGACCAAATTATGGTTTCTTTAACTTAATATATTTATTTATTTGTTTTTATTTGTTATTTCAGCTTTGGCAATTATGGATAAAATATTACCCATCAATAACAATAAACAAATCCATGTTATTTATGGAGTCTGTCTTTCTTTTTTTTACTTTAGGCATGACTTTGGTATCATCATTGTCACAAATTGTTGCAATTTCTTCTACAATAAGATTCCCGGCTAATGTCACTGAACTGATAGAGGGTTCATATTTGTAAATTTTATCAAATTCAAAATGAAACACACTTAACAATAACATTTTAAAATAATATATGTAATTACATACCTTGTAACATTATTAAAAAAACACGTTGTACCATGTGTTAACAAAAAAATAATAATAGTTATTTATTACAAAATTAACAAAAACTTAATAACATACCTTGTTACATTAGTAAAAAAAACACGTTGTACCATGTGTTAACAAAAAAATAATAATAGTTATTTATTACAAAATTAACAAAAACTTAATAACATACCTTGTTACATTAGTAAAAAAAACACGTTATACCATGTGTTAACAAAAAAATGATAATAGTTATTTATTATAATATTAATCTATATTATAAAATTAACAAAAACTTAATAAACGTTGAATATATTTTTAATAGTTTTATACTATTTTTTTACACTGTCTTGTGTATTAGTAGGAATGGGTAGGAACATGACTAACAATTGTATACTATAGTCTGTAATAGTAGGAACATTTATAACAAACATAACTTTAAATATATTATTTGGTAGAATTATTTTTGTAAATGGATAGGAACTGATCCATTGTATTTGTATATGCATCTACAGCATCCTGTTGAAGCTTCAATGATTTTATTTGCAGCTCCATTGATTCTCTATGTCTTTTTTCACGGCTTTCTTCTTTTTTTTCCATAAACAAATACATATTGCTTAATGAGTCTGGCTTTGTCTTTTTTGATGGAGGTGTGTACTCAGTCTGATTATCATCAATATTAAAATTCTTGGCCGATTCTTCTTGAATAAGATTTCCTGCTAAAGCTACTGGTGTAAATGAAGGTTCTTCTTTATAAATGCGATCAAATTCTTCTTCAAACTCAAAATAAAACGCACATTGACCAGAACTAGTGGCTTTTTTATTTCTCTGTTTTTTGAGGTATAATTTTCTTAGGTTTTTCCACTTGTTTTCACATTGGATAGCTGTCTTATTTATACTGGTATTTTTTAAATGTTTTGCAATAACTTGCCATACCTTTTCTTTCCTAACAGTTGTAGAAGAAAACATATTTTGGTTTTTTTCAAATGCATCTATGAGCACCAGAACATGATCTTTTGGCCATCGATCTGTATCTGCAGACACAAATTAGATAGGGTCTTAATAATAAATAAATAATGACATTAGTTTTATTTTATTTTAATACTAATTATGTGTTAAATGATTAAATTACTAATCTAACATACTTGGACTATATGACGTGTTGCCTTCTGATATTTCAGTAGTAGAACTGTCTAAAAATTACAAGACAAAGTTATTGTAATTAATAAACCATACATTTAAATTTAAACATTATATCAATCGTTTTAATGTGAAGTTAGTCACTTTCCAGGTCTCAAATCTCAAGCATGTATTATAACCAATGTTAATATTATATGTTTAATAAAATAATACATTAATTTACACATTTAACTTATAAGTAATAATCATAAATTAAAAACTAGACCACAATAGAGGTTTAGTACCAATTAGATGTAGGTAGAGAAAAGCTTCATACCATCAAAAATAAACATTCTTTTGATTGTAACTTTGCATTGTTCTACAACAAATATAGAAATTTGCTGCAATTACTAATATAAAATTCTTTTCAAGAAATCAATTTGAGTTTATGTAAAATAAATCAACGAATGATGCAGCACTTGTTACAGTTACAGATTATATTGTTAAATTTCTAGTTATAAAAATAACTAGAATTTTTTTAAATATAAAAAAGCATTAAACTGTGGATCATCCAATTTTAATTAAAAATATAGAATACACTAGTAGCTCTTAGCATATTTAGATCATACTTGGATTCTAGGTGTCATCGTACTAGAATTTGTGATATACTTTGTCAAACAAGCTAAAGTACCATCCTCCAACCACAAGCTATTCTTAGTGGGGAGATGTTAATTGTTAATTTTAATGTAATATTGATTTGTTGTATGTTGTTATACTATTAACAAATAAATAAATAATAATAATTTACCTGTGTTTATCAAAGCCTCTGGATTTTTGTTATTATCTTCTTCAAAGTCATCAGCAATAGGCTCTACAATAATTTTCCCAATATCAATATTTTCAGTAATTTATGATATTGATATATTATTATATAATTGGTTTTTTTTATGATTATAAAATATATGCAGTGTCTTGTTAAAAGGCTGGGATAAGTTGCCTTTGATGCCAAAATATTTAAGGTTGTTTTTCTAGGAACGATTGCCTGCAGTGTTTAACGAAAATATAAGAGGACAGAATTACCTAAAAAAAAAAAATTAAATTCTATTTGGTAAGTAGGTACTTATTAAATTAATAATTTGAACTAGTAGTTTTTCAGTTATTAAAATGTTTGTACTAAGGATACGTTTTTAAAAAATGGTCTCACTAAAACATTACATAATTTGTTAACATAACACTGAATATATTTTTATAATTAATCTATTATTACCTATGTGTTCATCATCTATTTCCAATGTTGTGTCAAACAAAGAACTTGACTTCTGGGCACCTTGAAGTGGGAATTTATCAGTCGGTTTTAACAAATTGTTTTTGAGTATATGTAAAATATATTTGTTTAACTGTTCTGCATCTAATATAGAAAAAAAACAATTTTGTATATTAAATCTTGGTGAATTAATCTAATCTTATGATACATTTATTATTATTTCCCATATTACATAAAAAATACATAATTTTCAAAACACAATAATTATATTTGCATGTCATATACCTAGTACATTAAATAATACTATATTCTATAGTTACCGTTTTTTAAAAAAGTATACATTTCATCAGCTACAAAGACTTGATGCTCTTGTCCTTTGAATTCAACTGTGATGATCATGTTAAGAATGTAAGAACTAAGAATGTAAATTGTAATAGACAATAGTACTAATTATAAGTCGAATACCTATAATACAGACTCACAGTAGTTAAAACTTAAAAGTGTTAGCGCAGTGTATATGCAATATGCTGTCTAGCTGTCGACTTGAGTACTCGACTAACCAGTAACCGGAGCAGTATTTCGTATTTAGCGGGAAAATTGTTTTTGTTATCTGCATAGATAATAATCATTATCAGTGGAGTTAAAACAACCTACCTATTTTTTCGGGGTCAAAGAGTTAACCCGGAGTCCAACAACTCGGCGTTACCGAACGGTAGTACGGAGTTAACTCTGCGTTCCCGAACGAAGTTGGGTAACTATTTTTTTATAGAGTTAACTAGAGTTGAGTTTTCGAACGCACTACTGCATAGACAATAATATTAACTGTACCAGCTACTATACCTATGTCCTATATTAAAGTTATTACTATCTAAAATTTGAGAAAGATGTACACTGATAAGTGATAACACCACAGAATAGATAAATGTCGACAATAATAATAAGTGATAACAAATTAAAAAATAAACACACACAGTAAGAGTTAGTTTTTTTGTTTCAGTTAGTTGGAGAGAAGCATAAATTATAGGAGAGGTAGTAGCAAATGCTATAGACTACCACTACTACTCGTTTATAGTATTTGGTAGTAGGTAACTATTTTAATTCATGGTGAATGTGAGATTCGATCTTAGACTGGTGAACTCGGTCGATACATGAAAATTCAAAATCCCTGTTTCAATAAAATAAATTACAAAATGTTGTTTCTTAAATTTAACACAGTTAATCGATTTCCCATGTAATAATCCAGCAACTGTCCTTCGCTCATAGGTTAAAAAACTTTGAGATCTACAAAGTTAAATCAATATGGTGAGTAATCGGTGACATTAATATAATATTTTTATGAGTACGTTTCACAGGTTTGTTAATTTGCAGCTAATGAACGCGTGTGATCCGATTTTCAATGCCAGTATACAATTGGATGGCAGTTGTATATCACGAGAAGACTATTCCGTAGAAAATCTTATATCGCCAGATTCGGCGTTACGAAAAAGAGGATTTCTATGTGAGACTTTTATTCGACCACCCGTGAGTTTAACATTCAGTTTCCCGTTCGCGTTTGACATTAAGTACGTAGTGATCGGCACACGGGTGGGTGGTCAAAAGTCCTCAGGATTTCAGATATTAGCTGGACGCAGTGACAATGTACAAAAGATCTGTTCTATGATAACCGAAAAAGAGGCAATATTGTTTCATGATAATAGTACCGATTTATCAACCTATGGGAACGAATACGATAAATGCTGTTTTAATATATCGGCAAGTAGAAATATCAGATCAGCAGAAAAGTTAACTGTGCGTATTTTCAAAACAGCAAATTCTATTCCGGCAATAAGCAAGTTGGAAATTTGGGGAAAGATATCATGTGGTGTACCAAAAGAAATCCATCGATCAATAACCCGTAATTGGGAAGAGAGTAAAAGACCAAAACAGATACAAAAAAAAATTAACAACGCACAACCGATTACAAAAATTAATTCTGACGTTTTTGTTATGTGTGATGACTTTTTAGACTCAATTACTTATGAAGTAATGACATGTCCTATGGTTTTTCCTAGTGGAAAATATGTCGACAGAACAACAGTAGAAAAGTGCATTGAACATGACACCATGTATGGACGTACACCTTGTGACCCTTTTACTGGAATACCATTTACAGATAAACTAAAGCCGATGCCTGTGCCTGAATTAAAAGGACGAATTGATTCGTTTTTAATAAAACATGCAGACGATGAAAATGTTAAGTGTATACCACGTGCAGTGGGTAAACATAGTTTTAGTTTTTACAATGAACGACAGACTAAAAAACCCAAAGTACAATGTAGTACATGTAATGAAAACTGTAATTTGTATAATTTACCTTGTAAACACCTGCAATGTAGAAATTGCCTAAAGACTGAGAGAATTAAATGCAATGTTTGTCACAGTAACTTTAATCGGAGTCAAATAGAAAAATATCATGATTAGTATAAACTGATTAGTTACAACTGTGGTTTTCTGATCATTCCTTCAAAGACATTTACTACTTCATTCATAATTAATCAATAATAACTATATGGTTAATAATAGGAATGACCACTAGTGAAAGGCAACGACTGTTCATCTATTATTTTAAATTACATACATTAAATGTTAGTTTTATCGATCTGACACTATTGCATAAATATTGCTTTGTACCTACCTATTGTATTACAAATAAATGTGAATTATGTAAAAAAAAAACCTTTAAAAGTATTAATTTAAACTAAAAAAAAATGTTTAGTCACAGTTATAAAAAAGTGTAACATTTATACACATATTATTAAATGTTTAAATGTATTAACTGTTTTTATTATGAATACGGCCGTGAAAAATAACTAAAATCATTGCCTTAATATGTTAAACGCCGATATCAACACATTGTTGACACAAGTAAACAGGCATTGAGGCATCCATGACCGAGGTTAACATGATTTGACATAAGTAAACTGGCACCGTATATAATACATACTTTGAATCTTGATTGTAAAACATTTTTGTCTATGCTTACAGCAACTGTATATGACCGAAAGGGTGAAGCATCTTGTTCATTGGAAGTAGTAACACCACACTGATGTCAGCTTACATCCCTCCTCCCAAAAAAAATATTGACCAAAAGGATGTATTGTCAAAGAGAGCCGTGTGGAAAGTTTCAAGCTATAAACTATATTATCTTGAGCAGATAAATTTCAAGTACAATATACAATCCTAGTAGGGGGCTGGTTACTTGTGTACTGGCTATAACGTCCAACAACTTTGCGAAGTTGCTAGTACTGAATGTCCAAATCAAACATCAACCTAGAAATATAGGTACTTATGAGTTCTTTACTGCTGTTTGCCATTCATCCACAAAGAGGATCAAGTTGCAGAAGTATTCAAGTTCAGTTTGAATAAGAGAATGCTAAATAGCAATCTTTTGAATAATTTAATATAGTCATGTATTTTTTTTTTACAAATATTTAATAAAAATTTTATGAGATTTTATATTTCTACTCTATAAATTGTTTATTAATAAATACCCATGTTACTATATAAGTACATTATATGTTAACTCATTTAGTTAATTCTCCCAGGGGTCACATAAAAATATACGAAACTTAAACAATGTACATAATAGTCTCGTATATTAAAACCACGATGATCTAAAATTTAAAACTCTTATAACCCTGACAGCCGGAGGGTGTTTTGAATGTTCAAACACCTCAACCCCCAGCCTCCCCCACCCATACCATTATGCAAAAAATATATTATGTAGTATACAATTTAAATTTGTACAAATTATGTCATCATAGAAATTTATTTCATATTTGGTATTATTGATATGAAAATTGATGACTACAATGGAGTCCCAAACCAACACTATTCAGAAGAATAGAAAATAAAAAATATGTAGGTATGATAAATAAGCACAGAATAACTGTGTTCATAACTTAATTACGTGACAAGAATCGTGAAATTATATAATTTTCAATAAACACATTTTTATAACAATGTTTTTATTTTCTAATGAGAAGGCAAGAACACAGTTAAGTACCTTAGTATGAGGTCTATGGGCAAGAAGCAGTAATACTATTAACAAGGTAGGTAATCAAAAATATTTTTAGAGTATGAGCATTTATTTAGGGGCACTTGTGTTTTTGGGGAACAATTTAATCAGCTCCACACAGAGCGACCAAAGTATACACACGCCTATGTCCACTAACTATAGCCAGTAAAAAAAAAGACGTTCAATGAGTTATTATAACGTAGAGTGAAATACAATTAAACATAACATACATACTTACGTCACACAACGTACATAGCCAATATATTTTTATGACTTGTCCTAAACCTAGCTGCTTTATTCATTAGCAACTCTACGTGGATTCAGCGGTGCAAAACAAAAAGTAAATTTTATTATACGAGTTCTCCAACACATGGTGATTAAAGGAAGAAATGGGTAATAAAAGAATAATAATAAAAAAACTGTTCTACATGCTTTTTTTATTATGCATATCATCTCATAAAACATTTTCATTTACAAAATAAATTTCATAAAAATCTGAAAAAACCTTACATGCAACATTGATAAATTTGATTAAAATAGAAACTCCTATGGTATATATATATTTCTATAAAACATATTATACACATAATATATTTATAAATAAAAATAAAATTCATATTGTCAAGCATATAATATTAATACAATATATTATATAAATATAGCTTATAGAATATAAACATAATATTTCTTGTCTTCTACTTTAAAATATATGTTTTTAAACAAAATAAGATTGAAATAAATTAAAATTTATAACATTAAATCTTAAGGTGTTTAACGAAAAGAAAAATATAATTTTACCCTATGGCACGTGAGCCTGAAATACATCAAACAGTAATTGATTAATTGTTTTGGGAGGCAGTAAAGTGCTCATCTACAAACAATTTTTTTTTCTAAAATCTACAATATACATATATTTGTATAAATATATATATATATATATTTATAATTATTTTATATATTAACTACAAACGTCTAAAATAACAAGAAAAAAACAAAAACACGACTATTTTAACGTTGAGATTCGTAAACAACAAAATAAAATAAAGTAATATAATAATGTATGTATATGATATATATATTTAGCCTAATCGAGAGATTGTCTAAATTATTTAGGCTCTTAAGTACTTACAAAAATATTATAAAAACTTAATTAAATATATATATAAATATATATTAATTTTTTTCAATATGTAAAAATATATATTTTCATATAATATATAATATTCAATATATCTCACTAATAAATAAATTATTGTGAGTATTATATTCTATATATGTTTTAACACAATTCTATAACAAAAAAAAAAAATGTAGAACGAACTGGCATGGGTCGATTTTGGCACCTGGCATATGGTATTATTTAAGATATTATATTTTAATTTTATTTAATACTGAAAATTTTCTCTACATAATAATATCGAAAAACTTTTCTAAAAAAAAAAATTAACATTTTATTGCACGCTAAATATAAAATATTATATAGTTCTTATAAATAATAACAACAAAAAAAAAATATTTATATATTTTTTTTAATTTTCTTATTTTATATCCTTGTTTAAACTAAGCAAATTTGATAAGTAGAGTTGTAAAAAAAGTTTGTTCAATATTCTTTTATATTTTTAATTGTCGTATACTTTGTCTTATTAGACCATTGTGGTTTAGTGTTCAGAAAAATAAACAAACAAAAATACTAAGACTAGTGACGACAGGCGTATAACGAATGTCGACATCAATACCAAAATAAACAAATATATAGATACATATGTTCTAAGAGGCATCAAGGGACTCGACAAAAAAATCTATCTAGTCTTTAAATTGTAATTTTACGAAACAACATTAAACACTATAATAATATAAATAAAACAAATATTATTATACGAAAATGATTAGACAGACAGATAATTGGTTAGACGAATAATTTCAAGTGCAACATTGCGTTTTTTAAATGTGTATATATGTGCGCAGAATGATATTGTTTAGTTGTTAATTATAGTTCCGTCTGGCAATCGTCGCACTTCGGCCGCAGGCTGCATTGTGTGGTGTTAAAATAAAGGTCCAGTATGTTAGATCTCCGCAAGCCTTTTTTTGAGGTTAAATAAAAAATAAATAAAAAACATGTTAGTAATGAAATATTTAAAAAAAAAAAAAAAAAATAGCAGCTAAAAGTATTATGTTCTATTATTGTATTAGTGTAAGTACTCCGGTGACAAACATAAGTGTTCTGTCGAGTGTATTTCAATAGTTATTAGTATAATATTTTACTACCATATGTATGAAAAGCGTTATGACGTATAATACATATATGTAAGACAAAAAAAAACTTTCATGTGATCGTATTACTTTTATTATTTAACCAGTAATGTAAGTTTTTTTTCATTCCACTGTTTGTATATATGCATTAAATTTAAATATTATAGTGCAAAATAAGGGATGTTTCGTAGTTATCATAAATAATTTTGATACATGTCTACCTTCACCAATAAACAAATCTTCGGTTTTGCTGTTAAATACAATATTAGAACACAATACGTGAAAAATATACTTAAATATGTTACATCTACAAATTATTATTATATATATTATGTAGCTCCTACACCTACATAATACTGCCATAACAAGCGAAAAAACATGTAAAATGTATATAAACTATAAACGAATATATAAATAATTATTTAATATATTATATGTCGGTATATAATAATAATAGTACATCTACATAAACACATAAATAAATTATGAGAAAAAATAAATAAAAATATCACAACCGAAAAAAGGTCTAGAAAAAAAGAAGCATAAATAAAAATAATTACGCGTGGGGGTCATTGAAATTGTTGAAAAAAATTGGGGATTTTGAAATTTGATAATCGCGCCAGATTATACCCTATAAACTATGATTGTCTAACCCTAAATTAAAAACGAATAGCAACTGACCTTTCAGATTCAAAGAACTTTTTTTTTAATTTTGGTTTTTTTTTTTAATTGACAATCGAAGTGCCAACCCTCTGATACGGATGATCCCTGATCTGACTCAAATGCCTTCTTTGTTTGGCGACCTGAGCCGCCGCCGCAACCGCGGCTGCTGCACCTGCTATAAACATATTATTTCTATTTATTTATTGAAAATTAATTTTTGTAATGCATTTATAAAAACACCGTTGGAGAGCCAGGTTCCATTTTAAAACGTCGACCCCCTACAACTTGTACAAAAATAATAGTAATTATAATTAAAAATATATATATATTTATATATATTATATATGTATAACAAATTCTAAACATAGATGTGTACTAAACAATCACAAAAAAAATATACATAACATTAATTATATAATCAGCCTGAGTATTTTTTTTATAATAATATTATAATATAATATAATATAAACATAATTAAAATATTAAAAGTGTTTGTCATGGTATTTCATTCTTATCAAATTAAGGAACTTTAGGTGTCAGAAGTATATATTCTTCTTATGAGTAAAAAACCTGTCTGGTGGTTCTTCTTGGTCCCTCAAGTATTTTGTTAATTCGGGTCCTAATGTTTTTAATATTTTGTTTTATATTTGTTAAAACTTTAGTATTTACTATTAATGTTAGAGTCACACCTTGGTTTACATATTTCTAAAAATAATGTAAATATTTGTCCCGGTTAGTTGAAAATATTGACTAAGAAGATATATGAGAGATATTTTTAAATTTACTAATTCCAAAACTATGATAAATAACAAAAATAATAAGGATTTGTTTAAATGTTATTACTTATTAGAATTGTTTTACCAGTTAGAATACAAATTCTAAGATTATTTTTTTTCAATAGGAAGTACTTGAGGAGTATTATTAGGAAAAATATTTGATTACCGTATTAAATTTATTAGTACACACCTAGTTTTTTTAATTATATTTTAGTCGAGTTAGACTAATATTTTAACTAACTAAACGCGAAAGAAACAGAGATAAAGAAGGGATATATATGTATATATAACTAAAATAAAATCTATAAATAATTACTATAAAAAATTAAAGCTTTGAGTAATAAAATCGATTAAAAGCGCGCAAAAAGTTAAGGAATCAAAAAAAAAAAATAATAATAATCATAATCATAATAAAATAAACAAGATAAATAATAATTATATAAATAATAATAATAATAATAATAATCATAATAATAAAAAAATAATAATAAAAAAATAATAATAAGGAATATTGAAATAAAATTAATTCCTAAAATTATACATAAATAATAAATAAGATAGCACCTCACAAACATAAAAAAGAAGGGTTGGATGGCCAAATACTAAGGATGGTACTAACGTTGATTTGGCCAGTGACGGTAGGTGAGCCCTTGTAGTTCTGGAACCATTAGCATGTATCTGGCCGAACATTCTTTTAATATAATAATAAAAATAAATTAAAATTTAAAAAATATCTCAAGAACATTTTGCTTTGAAAAATAAAAATACTGATTAGGTTCATATGTGTTTTTTGTTCAGTCTTATTAAAAACTAATAATTGTTTAGTGATATTTGAACAGGGGCATTTTAATTGTAGTTTTAAATTATTTTCATCCTGAATTATGATTTCTCAGTCTCCCAAGCGCATTCAATCATATACATCATATAAATATATATATATTATATATATTTATATATAAATCTTTTTTTTTTTTAACAAACAAACAACAACGCACCCGAGTGATCGGCAGGAGTGTATTCTGTGATCAATGGTGATCCTGCCAATGCATAGTTGGCATAATCGGCATATGGCGTATATATAAGACCAGCTGCAGCTGCTGCTGCTGCAGCATGATGATGATGTTCAGCAGGAGACAAAAGCTGGGGTGCACCAGGATTTCCACCACTGGTAGTAATGGCAGTCGGGATACGAGGCGATAATATAAGTGGTGCCGTTAAAGGCGTGGCGGTCTGTGGTCGTAAAGTTGTGGCTAGGCCACCCATGCCATGTGGCGACAAAAGTCGCTGTGTCTCAGCAGCTGCTGCAACAGCCATCCTTCGCCATTCCTCATCGCAAGCTAAAATATTCAAGTGTTAATATATTGTGACTAAAATACTCAATAAATTATAATTTTTATTGGTATAGTAAAGATCAATTTACCTGCTGCGGCTAAGGCTTTAGCGTTTGAGTCCCTATATGTACCGTTGATGATAGCAAGTTCCATCAGTTGGCGTTTCTTCAATTCATCTTCTCCATCAGCCTAAAAAATAATTAGGACTTTAATACATTTGAATGTAATTGAATACCAAGGAGATTTATAAAAATAATTTCAACTAACAGGTACAAGAAGCCTTTTCACTTCATCAATGGCTCTCTTCAACTTGAGCTTAGCCCGGTTTTCAGTGTCTTCAACGGATATCAAAACATGGAGCTCTTCGCTCAAATGTTCCCAGTTGGGTTTACCTCTGTTTTGTTCCTCCTTTAAACATACATAATTACAATTAATTGTTAAAACACTTGAAACTATCCAATTCTTGTTTACTTACGATTCTGTATGAAAAACTTCCGATAATGGTGTTAGCAAATAAATGATATTTAGGCATAGTGTTAGACAAGAAAAATCAATACAAAATATATCACTTAATTTTCGTACATACCTTTTTCTTATCCCGCATTGAACCCTTTCCTCGAACCATAATCTTGCATCCGGTCTCCAATTCCAATTGTTTGGCAGTCATACCTCGTGGGCCCAATATTCTTCCGACAAAGTTGAACTAAAAATCAACATACAAAATTCTCTTGTTAAAATCGTATTCAAGAATTAGGAAACATTTAAAAATGACACGCAAAACAAATATAAAATAATAATAATTTTATGCTGACTGTTGGTCACAAATCCGCAAATCGTAGCAATTAGCAAATACGAATGATTTTCATGGAACTGAGTTTTCATTTTTTTTAAATGTGACAAACTCAACTCGTAGCTGTAATGCACAGTAGTTCTCATTTAGTATATTGAAATAAATTTATCAAGTTATGAATTCGTTTCTACGCTGTTCGAATAAACAGAGACCCCCAAGTTTAATAGTATAATATTGTGTGCATTTTCGATTACGAATAAATGTAAAGTGCAGATTAATATACTGAGGTACTTATTGTAACAAATCGACAGATAATAACGACATTTGAAACGACGTTAACATCGTGTCTATACACGATCATATCTCTTGGCGAGCACCGAGTGGGTACGTCAATTCCTTCGACCAACGTACTTGAATCATCAGTTTTCGTTTTTTCGACACACACCATGCATATTATTATATAATATAATATAATATATTAATAATAATCGTGGTGTGTATATTACGATTATAAACAGTCGAGTGGTATCCACTCATCGCTATTATATAATATTACTAATTGACTCAAATATACAAATGGCATTTTAAACACGCGAGGTTTCCTTTTTACGACCGACGTATATAAATATTATGCAGCAATATGACTAGGTTGTTTAGGACATTTTAAACGTCATGTGTACAAGTTGCTCTTAAAACACAATTCGTGTTTCAGGATCGGTGTACCAATAATAACCGGGCTCCTAATATTTTACGATCAGGAAACCAATTATTGAGCACACCTTTTTAGATTGACCTTAAGGTATCAATTTTGTCCAATCTAATTCCATCGACATCGGATCACCACACATTATACACAATACAAAAATTATGTTTAAGACTGAATTGTGAGTACTTATATAACAATAATTAAAAATTAAAAATTTATACTAGGGATATTGATTACCGACTGGTTAAATATTTTTTGTTTTGGAAAAATAATATACATTCTTTCGCATTTAAAATTTTAATAGCTGATTTGTAGCCAATATTCTATAACAGTATCGGAACTTTTTTGAAAAGTAATTTCTCATTATAATATAACCAACATTGAACATCATATCATACAGGTATGGATTTGAGTGATACCTATACAGATTATACAGACGAAATCAAGTTGTAATTTTCGCAACTTATATTTTATTCTCTTTAAAGCCTAATCGGGTTGTTGTACTGCACAACACTTAATAATATGGGGTACACGACGAAGATACTTTTAAATGCACAACTATGTTAATTATTGAGTTTTATTTAATTTAAGTATGAAGTAACTAATTTGTACAGAATATAATGAATATTATTTTTACACAGTTTTAATTTAATCGACCAACGGTTATTATCTAGCGACATTATTTGTCTAATGTCTATAAACCATGAAAAAAACCGAGTACAACTGGTATATGAAAAGATAATTTTAAGCATAATTATTGGTAAATTCGCCACAAGTCACTATAGTCATACACTCATACAGTTCTACTACGACGGGCGTACATAAAATGTTGAAAAATGTTTGGTTCGGAACCGTATTGTAGTGGAAATGTGGAATAGTCGAAATATATTCCGTCGGAATCACATATTATTGGAACTGTATTTTTATTGGGTCACTTTAATTTGCAATCGTAGTCTGTTTAAAATATATTATGTCAGAAACGGATTTGATCGGAAACGTCATTTTATGGACAACGTACGGTTGTAAACACAATATTGTGGTTGGAACTATTATAATATGTAGGTATACTAAACAATATTATTTTGTCGTAATCGTATTTGCTCAGAAACTTATTTTCATGAAAAATATTTAGTTCGAAATGTTTAGGTAAGTAAGGTACCTAAACGGTTCCAAATAAATTATTTTTCAACCAAAAACGTTTCTGAGCTAACACTATTCCGACAAAAAAACGTTTCAACTCAATTCTATATATTACGATCCAAAATAATATTTCACGAAACGCATATGTTTTCGAGTAGGTTAATACTTCTTTTCCAATGAAATACTTTTACAAGTACTTATACTTAACCAAAAAAAAAATCAATTCAGACCCAAATAAATACAATTCAGAAAAATAATTTTTCAAATTTTTAGGATCCTACTTCCAACTATTCATTTTTAAACAGAACCTAACCTCCAACGACGCACGACCGACAGACGCCTAGCCTACAAAATATAATTTTAACACGTCGTAATAATTAAAATATAATAAAAATATTGTTTTAAAAAATGCACGAAACCTAAATTTCACGTTTTAAACATCACACGGATCGTCGTCGTCTATTTTTATTTCCCTTTGTTACACGCCGCTGGATGAAGAAGTGGACGATGACAATAATAATTAATAATAGTCCTACAAAGCCTGCCTGTGCATTAACTTTTATTTTATGGATGGCACTCCTCTGTAGACATGCATAACCGCGGTTACACCTCGTCCTCTATACTATTATTATGGTACTACGCTACGACGTTCTTAACACGGTTTAAAATATCATATAGCCATGGTTATTAGTTATTACGGAATCCGAGATCGCAGGCTCCACAGTAGATAAAACGGTATTCGATTAAACAAAAACTCTCAGAATTTTCTGGAAAGCATACTTTTTTCCAAAACGGCATTTACGGCGCTGATTTCAAAAACACCCAATATACACCAAATACGTTATTTTCATACTTTTCCTCGTTTAAATAATTATTTTTCCAAAATATTTGGCACGAAAATGCTCATCGATGTTATATTGTGTAAATTACACACTTAACTCACTCAGTCGCCAACAAACATTCTATAATATATTTATCTATACGACATAAAAGTATAAAACTAATAATTTTATGAACTGTACCTAACTCCATGACCTATACGTACGTTAGTAATTACTTATCATATTTATCAATTATACCTAACTAATAATTGCAAATAAAAACCCAGCCCTACAGTTAAGTACGAGTGTATGACTAATGACGCATCAAAATTAACAATATCAATATGTTTCATCGAAATTGTTATTGTGAGACCAGAATGATAATAATATAGATTTAGGTATACTACGACGACCTCGGCGGATTCAATATAATAAAAAGCCGATAATTATGCATAAAATCACCAATTTATGGACGGAACACGGCTACAACATTATCAAAGTAATAAAACAAGTTACAAATACTGAGATACACTTACACTACGATAATGAGATTAATTTCCACACAATATACGTATTACTAATTTATTATAATACTGAAGTATTATTTAATAAACAGTGCCTACAATTATATACAAACATTTCAGAGACAAAAAAATATGAACTTCAGGCTTTTATACTATCCATGAAATAAAATTCTGCACGAAGTCGAAAATTATACAATAAAATACAAACATAGTCACACTCGTTCAAGTGGTGGCTGTGTACAGTATACAATATACACAGAACACACCCTAGGTTTAGCAAATTTCACGAGTTCACGATGACCCGAAGTGACGAGCCAAAAAAAAAAAAATGATAATTCACGCGAGAAGACTCGACAATTAATTTTACCGCCGGTTAAGGATAAATAAAAGGTTTATATTATTATATATTATTATTAATTATTATTGTTATATATATATATAGTAACAACTCGATGATAATGGGCACCACCACAAATCACAACAATGGTTTGCGGCGACAAAAAATAACTAACTACCACACATCATAATAATATAGTCGTTGTGCTAATGAACCGTTTTTGGCCAAACCCGAATAACGACGGTGCTAACGCCAAAAAAGGATTAAAACCCCTCTCTTTATAAGCTAGCCAACATTCTCTCAATCTCCCTCTCTCTCTCTCTCTCATACACTTAAGCTCCTCGTATACTCTCGGCGGGCGTATGTTATAACTACAACAATAATAATATATGCAAATGTCATGTACACGATACACGACGGTTTCACACAAACGTATTTGTCACCATTCATTTTTATTATTATTAATAAGAATGAACAGAGAATTGCTAAGAAACGGGAAAACGATTTTGGATAGAAAAAAATTAAAGAAACAACACTTAGGACATAAGGCAATGGCGGCGGCGGCAGACTGCGAGGGCGCCATTGCTCGTTGGCCATATTCAGCGTTGTCACGATCCTAAAAAAGAACCCGACCATATGGTCCTCTCATGTTTTCTCTGGCACGTTTATGATCTCTAACATTGCATATATATATATACATATAGAAGTGTGTGTGTGTGTGTGTGTGTGTGTGTGTGTGTATAGACGACGACGATTTAAAAGACGAAAATAATATATACACACGGTGGTAGTATATGGAAATTTAATAGCGTGGGATTACTCATTTTGGAAATGCCATTATTACGCCTGCGATATACACACATCGTTCATTAGGTTTTTAATAAAATTATAATAACGATGATGATGACGAGATGCAAATCGCACTTATATAATATTATACATCTTCAACCCCGCATTGGATGTATTGATGTGAGTAATATGTTCCTTTTCTCCTGTCTCACTCTCATTCCTCTCCCTCGCATTACTATTCGTTATAACGCCTAACTCGCGTAGGTCGCAATTGTAGAGTAGACAAAATAAAAATAATAAATACAAATTAGAAAAATATATATACGCCACTGTGTTGTCCATTAATGGGCATCCACGACCGGACATGTCTTTCGGACCATCCCATTCAATCCGTTGAGTATTACAAATATTATATTATTATATATACACATGCACCAAGGACATGCCAAACCCATTCTACTAAGTGTGTAACATTTAAACTCTGTTTTCCTCCCTGTCACTATAGTAAAAAAAATATGATAAATTGATCAGAGTAAACGGCGGTCGATGTCATTATTTTTTACCGGGAGAAAACGTATAAGAATCAGAATTGCGTAAACTACACTTCTCTATCAGAAAGTGCTTACGAGTTACGGCAGTAATAGTTTACACTGTTGATAAAAATAGAATACGTACAACAAAATTCTAATATATTTCATTATTGCAATATAGACAACAAACTTCCTGCGCATTTGAGTAAATTTACAGTTTGAAAGATACTATATACCTTATAGATAAGTGATAAGTGATAACTATTAACTATACTCGTGCTCTCGCCAGCACGAGTATAGCAATAACAAACTACATTTAGTAAAATTTTTAAATACTACGTTAGTGTTAACAGTTGATAGGTAAGATTGTAAGAACTAAGTAAAGACTACCTGATGATTACATTAATATACTTTATAATTAATATAAAGACTAACAATACAACAATGTATTTATTTATTTCCTTCAAATAGTAAATAGGTAGTCACTTTTCTGAACAAACTAAATGAATCTTGGACAATCATTTTACATTATTTTCTATAACATTACATCATAATATACAAGGCACGAGTACAAGTTGTGCATTATTCATACAAAAAAATGTTGAAAGCTTGGTCACAGTTATAATAAATAATAAATTATTATTTATTAATACTAGGCACAGTTTATAGAAACTTTAAAGAATTTAAATCAAACGTGTTCAAAATAATTGAATTCCTTGGAGAATGCAATAAAAGAAAACACACATGTACCTAAATGGCTAAATGGCGTATAAAAATGTTTTTTGATTGCTATAATACGCCTATATACCTAACCTATTGCAAGAAATTATGACGGATCAGCAAAATCTATAATAGCGTATGTGGAAATGTGGTAATAATAAATAAAACATATAGTAGTGTACTTGTACATAAATTAATAGATAAAAAAATTTCAAATCTCACAATAGTTTAAAAAGCAACACGTACGCAGTGCACACCAGTCAATTTATATTTTACGCTAAAAACCATGATAAATAATATGAAATTTAATTTCATCAGATGGTTGTTGTTTTTCCTGAATTACTATTTTATGGTGCCTTAAAAATAGATTGATACGAAAAAGGGTCAACACCGCCACTGGCACAAAGAGAGTGCGCGTTTCTCGTCGTGAGGACTTATTTTTTTCTGACGAATCACCGCCACAGACCAGTCACTGCTAGCGGCCATCTTTGACTCACACTCAAAACAGTTTATTTGTGATCAGCTTGATCATTATTTAAGCCACTGGACACATTGCCTACCCACCTACAACTGTCTACACGATTAATATTGTTGGTATAATATTTCAAAAAATACATTGTTTTCGAGGAGACACATAGATTCCAACTAGTACAGGAAGTTTAAAACAAACTATCGTTTCCACAACTTCCTAATTTTTAACTGTGGTCATATCCTGCAGGTTAGTGGTTACTCCTTAGCTGTATTCATTAATATTAAAAAATTAATTTACATTTGACTTAAGAGGACGCTACACGGCAATTTTATGTCTTCGGCTTACAAGTGAGTAACATAACAAATTTACACTCAGGAGAACGCGTTTAGATCCGTTAGTTTGAAAATTAGAATGAATCGACTTATTATGAAAATTATTTTTTAGTAAGTTATGCATAATAATATATAATATGGCGTAAATTAAAAATACTCATAACTCACTTAAAAACTGAATTATCGTAAAAACCACATATACAAACATAGATAATGTTCTTACCATCAAGTTTCATAAAAGATCGATTCACTAACCAAGCGTTCTCCATAAGAGTAAATTTGTCATGTTAGTATGTTACGCACTTGTAAGACGAAGACAACAAATGGCTGTGTAGTGTCCTCTTAATGCAATATCATATACTTTAAAATTCATTATTGCAATGACAAACCGGTTACTGATTAATTTAGAACGCTATTAGTCAGCTTATCATAAGTAAAGCTACTTATACATCGTTCTTTACGTTGTACCAAGGTGTATTTTACCTTGCGTTGTACTATCTACTATCTAGCACAAAATTCAGAAGTCTGCAGTATTAAATGTTATTCAATCAAAATTTTAGATAAAACTATATATAGCTTAATAAATAAAATTAAACTGATAGTGTCAATATTAACGGTTGATGAAATTTTAATTTTCAATATTTTCCTCATACATTCCTAGTTTAACTAGTTGACAATTTTACTCACTGCAGTACTCAAACTTACTGTTTTAAATTGACAGAATTGTTAGGTTGTTTTAAAACTAACTGTACTGGTGGAAATGCGGAATCAATGTACTACTTCTCCTGATAAAAAAAGGTCATTCGGAACCAATAAGATCACGTATTCGACGCACGACAGGGATTTGGCGAGTAGGTAGTATTACATCTTATGAATTTCATTGTTCTCAAAAGCGAAACACACTTGGGTATATTGGTAATAATTCGTTTTTGAACAGGGCTGCCAAAGAAGCAGCATGAAGCAGCAGGACGTAAACGTCTGGTATTCCGGTCGTCACTAGGGTGGCGGCGGTGGTGGTGATGAGGGATGAGACTGGGCTGTAAATAACCACACATGTACACGAGACGACTTGACTCGTATTTATAGAAGTGGCAATTACGGAAAAGGGACGTTTTTCATACAGACATCTGGTGCAGATGTCGTATGTAATTTAAAAACAAACGTGAGCTGGAAGGCGGAGGTGAAGGAGCGAAATAAAAATATTTAAACGTGGATTATCACGTTAAAAAAAAGGCAAGACAAAATGGCGAAGTAAAAACCGGAGACCTTGAAAAATGAATGAAACCCACACACACATTATTGGGCGAAAAATCGGATAAAAGATAAAATAATCTTTTAACTACTTACTTGCATTAATTTTTTAAATAATAAAACATTATGATAACACGTGCAACCCAGTAGGTACCGTTGATTTCATTATCCCATGGACGTTTGGTGGTCATCCTTCGGTTTATCCACCCCCTCCCCCCAACGTGTTGTACAATGTGAGGTAATACACCTAGTGTTCAGAAAAATCGTCGATTACGGATATAATAATAGATAAATATTATTACATTCACCGTGACGAGAAAATGTCCAGTGGAAAGAGCGCAAGTCCTCATTCTGGTTTTAAGGTGAGATTTTTGAATTTATTTTCGTTGTAGTGACCGTCGTTTGGGCATGTGCCCACCGACTGGTAGCGGGGGAGGACACACGATACGGGTCCGGATCTTGGCACTGCATGTGTACCGGTAAGATGGCGCGGCGTGGGCGGCGAAGGCGACACGGTATTTTCCTCTATTTTTAGCCGTGCTGAATAGGTTTAAAACACCATCGTCAACACCCGCGTCGTTTACGCCACCCCACAACACCGCCGCTGGAGCCGAATTTATACTAATAATTAACATTGTTTTATGCACAGTAAAATTTCATGATGAGAAAATTACGTCCGTCCCCGATATTACAGCCGCGTAAACGATATTCCGTCTACCCGAGTGACAATATGTCGCGCCTCCGGAAAACAGCAATAACAATAATAATACGTAATAACGAAAATAAATCAAACACATAACGATCTTACCTCCGGATGGTCCTTAACTGGCACGAACACTTTTTCGGTAATGGTGACGGGCGCGCCGTCTGGTTCCGGCAGCACCAACGGTTCCTTCTTCACGCCGTTCACTTCGAACAGGCTGGCCCGGACTTTGGTTATTTCTGTGGAAAAAATTTAAATTCCATTAGTTTATATATACATATATATAGCAATATAAAAATGGAAATATTGTGTTATAGTGTTAGGTATATTTAAAATAAAATACTCGTGAAATTGTTTCTTTTTAGTTTTTACGTAGTACCTACAATAATGGTAATAATGGTTTCCGATATACATATAGGTGATTGTCAACGGTTATTTTTTCTATATTATATTTTGTAACATATTTATTTTACGCGCGTGCACTTTGTAGCTTGTAAAAATTATAAACGTTTTCGGCGTACAGCAAAAAAAAATGTACGTCAAACGACGACATCAGTTATTACTTATTTTGTAACAATTATAACACGAAAGCCTAATGCATGTAATGTATGACTCGGTAAAATCAAAAATGTAATATCATGTTTTTATTATTTCTATTTGCTCTGTTAACGGCGGCCAGGAGAATAATAATTTTAAACCTACCGTGTCTAAACTCGTCTAGACACCTGTATTCATTGTCTGAATATAGTAGGGTTGTTCGTCACAGGGCCGAGGGTTGATTTATCATGCCAATAACAAGAGCGAACAGTGAGCAAATACAAAAAGAATCCAGTAGAAAAATAAGCCAACAAGTAATCGCCGTCATATTATTTTATAATTTTATATATTTTATATGTGTATCGTTTAAACTATACCTATAATTAGTTATTAGATAAGCATATCGAGATTCGAGACATGGTTTTGTCCGAGTATATTCGGTGCACCAATATAAAATAATAAAGCCAATGCGATAATATTAATAATAATTTTTTTTTATAATAATGTTTAGTGAAGTAAGAATAAAAAAAACTAATGTCAACGACAAGTGTAAAAAATATATGGTTCGTAATCGCTATCGAAATGGGAATTGAAAAAAAAAATTATGCGTATACTGTTGACATCACATCATTGTTTCATTCAATATTCAATCCGAATAACGCTACCGAGTGTGTTTCGTTCTCGCATAGAACGAGACATCCAAAATTCACGAGAGTAGGATAATATAAACGTAATCGATGAAACTTCCAAAGTATATACCGAACTTCCGTTTAACAACATTTTCTGTTTAACGAAATATTGTTGAGAACCAAACCAAATTAGAACCAAATTTATTCACTTCTATTTAACGAAATTCTTTATAGTACGAATTTTTTTTACGGTTCATGATACTTTGTAATATGGAAGTTTCACTGTAAAACCTAATAAATAATAAAACATAAGTTTCGGTTTCGTCGGTTTGGGTGGTGTATCCACGACGACCGGGTGTGCAGCAACAAATTAATGCGATTGCCCAAATGTTTTGTTCTTTTCAATTCCGATTAATTAAAGACGGGCATAGCAGCGTCGTATCGAAATAATAAGGAAAAAATGCACGCCAAAAGAGCCTGTCGGATCTCGCCAGATCGGTGGTGGTGGGCGGTGGATGGTGTAGAGTATAATATACACAGAAACGACATCGTCGCCGAGCCGCTGACTATAGGCCGTGACGACGAGCGAGAGCGCGGAAATTATATAATATGATATTATCATGAATACATCTATTCAAAGGTCGGGCTGGTTTCCTCCGATGACTCGCCGTGGAAGAATCGCGCACACGGGCGTGTACAAATTGTTATTTTATTACCATTTAATATTATTACTATGTTTTTAAGGTGTATTTTCGAGAAGGAGTAGGAAAACGTCCCACACGCCGGACACGAAACTCTCTCACACACAAACATCAACACACCCACACGCTACCGGTGTCGACGACGACGACGAAATTATTGTAAATCGAAATAGACTGTTTTTTTTATTTTCTGCCATTTGACCATATAATATAGTATGAGACACACTTAGCCACCGCTCCACCACGACGTGAGCCGACGACCGTCTACCGTACGCAGTAACTGTGTGGTGGTACTGTTCGTTTATCGAAACATCGGTTGTACGGCGGCTGAGAACCGGCCCCGGGAGGAGATTCCGAACGTATTTATAATGCGAGTAATAAAAACCGGTTGCGTGTGCAGCGCAACCAGGGGAGGGGGACGCGCGCATCAAGGTCTCGACAAACAGAACCCTTTATTTTTTTTTCTAAATACGAATTACAATAATAAGTAGACGAATATCATATTATCGTTTTCTTACATATACACCGCTCACGGGGATGATAGAGAGTGGAAATCTGTGTTCAGAACGCGCAGCACAGCCCCCTATAGGAAACGAGTACTGCACGGGGCATCGAAGCAGCCGCGGCGGCCGCCGATCGTTTTCAAACGGAATATAATAATAATATTATATTATAGAAACCATAAACCTGCTGTTGCAGTACCGCGGTCACCGCAGTTGCATGGTGCAACTAGTCGATCGAGAAATGGATTTAAAAACAAAACCGTACACAATAATATTATATATTGGTACCATCTGTTGTGTGGCGGAACACTTTCAGCGTAAGAAGATCAGACTTTCACAAAAAAAAATAATTTTATCTGACGTTATATATACGTAGTTGTAGTAGTAGCCAATATGTACGTTGTTTGTTGTTACGTGCGTTGCTCACTTGCTCCACGCTGCAGATTATATTATATTGATGCAAAATGGATTATCGGCTAAAGCCTAAAGTTATATATGCACTTTATTATAAGTATGAAAGTAGTCGCGCTCTAAAACAAACACTTTCGAGTAATCATCGAGTGTAAAATGTGTAGGTATAATAATTATAACAAAAAGTTAAAATAGTAACAAAAAATATATGCATTAGTCTACAAATTGTACGCGACTCATTTAAAAACACGTTTGTAATGCATTTTATGTGACGTTCTGCTTTCTGCATTTAAAAATGTCATCTGAAAACCAAAACGAGTGCCAAAAAACAACAGTTCGTGGCGTTCGGTTCTCATTAAAAGATTATTCTAAGTGTTATTAATACTATATTTTTTAAGAGTTAATATTTTCATTCCCTCTAAACCATAGCGGTTCTAATATTGTAAATATTATACTACTGCATACATAGCACACAGGATGCATCATCACCAGGAGGTTTCCGTGCTTTGTCTTCCCGACGAAAACATATGTGTGTGTAATGTTTAAGCCACGTTACCACGTATTCTCTATATGGTGGTTGAATCATTTATTATTGTTATTTATATATTACATTATATACTAGGTATATACTATATACATACGTATAAATAGTATAATACGAAACGAAAAAAATATAATGTATCGTCGCAGTTCAGTGGTTCTCAAAAGGGCGGAATCGTCGTGAAGGGTCAATGCCAAGTCGGGAAGATGGGAACGAATAACTTACAAGTATCGTAGTAAGTGCACAAACGAACATATTATTATATATGTGTACTGTGTAGTGTGTACAGCTAATACCTACAAATCCCGTTGCCTATTTCATAAAACCATTTCTCTAGTCCAATGGAGGGGATTACGGGCGGGTAAAACAATACACGATTCCGCCGACTCAGAAGTCGACGAGTGTGACATGTTCATCTATATAAAATATCGTTTTCACATTGTTCTCCTTCGCGCGATGTGTCTCGAATTACCAATCTCGTCTATGCCGCTGCCGCCGCCTTTCTTTCTTTCCGCCCGTCAAGGCTAAAACGCGCGCACATTACACGATGCATATATTGTATATATATATACAATATACATACATACATACATACATACATACATACATACATACATACATACATACATACATACATACATACATACATACATACATGCATATATAAATACGACATACGTGTAAGTTGATGTCGTAGTTATTATTTATCAAATTGTTATTATATTGTCGTTAATAATAATGAAAAATACTAATGGACGTTAATTATTTATGGTCGTACGGGTATTCGCACATGGTGAAAAATTAAGCAACCCCCATCATCGGGGTGGTATTAATAATACTGAATTGATCTAATAATTTACTGCGTATGCGGGCGTTGACCAAAAACTTGTTATTTTCGTAACAGGGTACATTATTATTACGAGAGCGCGCGTGTGCTTCCGAGTGTTTTTTTTCAACCTTCGATGCGTTGGTATACACCGTAGAGTCCTTTGAAGGGGAGAAAACACACACGCAATGCAGACGCCAGGTCCAAGAATAGACGCGATGCACTTGGCATCTGCTGTGACGCCATTTTGACTTTTTCAACACACTCTTTATTTATAAACGGACGACGAATCCCCTCGGTACATAGTGTTTTTTTTAACGAAATATAAAACAAAACCGTTCTTTGAGAAACGATAATATTTATCGAGCATGAAACCGCTTCGCGTACATAAGAAAAAGCCTTGAGGGATTTATCGCGATTTAACAAGACTGTGGGACGGCGGCGGCGGTCGAAGGACTGCACATAAAAAAATCACAATAATCAACAAACATATGGTCTATTGGTGTTTTACTGCTACTGCTATTGTTGCTTGGACGAATATCACAAATGGCGGAATACAATTATTTTTAAATTAAATGAACAATTACGGCCGAGTTCAAACACAAAAACATATGTACAAATTGGTTTTAAACGACGATCAACATTGCCCCCCACCGCACCCAAGGCCACGAGTTCCCAGAAATTGATTTCCCATCCGTATACGATGGTAATGTATTTAAGCGCTATACGTGTGATGACTATTGACAAATCACATGAAGCCTACTAACGGTTCTTGAGTCGTTGAAGCAAACGACATAAATCTCGTGCAGTCGTGCTGTACTTATTATACCCGTTTATAAAACAAAGGGATGGGGTAAACGTTTACACAGAAATATTATTCTCATTTGAAACGACGAAAATTGTTGGACACATAATAGATACGAGCGTGAAAATTAAACATAAATACATATAATATACCATATAACAACTTACGTCTATGACATTTTACTGTAAAACGTGTTTGAAGAGAAACAATAAGTTAGATACGTATACCATAGTTTATAATATATCATATATGTTTTACATGTTTATGTATAATAATACTAGTTAAT